CCGCGGTGCCTTTACTGCAGCACGCGCTCGGAGCCCTGTGTCCTTCGCCCCGGCGTGCAGACCTGCGACCGGTGCGCCCGCGACTCGAAGGGGTGCTACGCCCCCGACACGACCCCGGAGGACCTCGCCGGGAAGCGCGCGCAGCGCTTCGTCCAATACCACGACGCCAAGGGCTACGCCCGTTGTAAGTCCGCTCGGCCTCCCCGCGATCCCTCGACACTAACCGCCTTGTGTAGGCCTGCTCGAACCGCGCGCCGACGGCGCCCTCGTCGCGACGTACCGCGGCAAGGTCCCGTCGCCGCCGACTGCCCCTACGGTTCCCGCGAGCGGTAAGGCAACGGTGCCGGCTGCGGCGCCTGTCGCGGGCCCGTCGGGGACCGCTGGCAGGGCCGACACGGACGCGGGCGCCGAGCCTGAGGCTGTCGCGGGCCCGTCGGGGAAGACCGACGACGCGGACGCGGACGCGGACGCGGACGCAGACGCGGACACCGAGCCGGGGAGTCCCACTGAGGTACGCCCCCCGTCGTCGCCTGCCCCGCCGCCTACGATTGCGACCCCGCCAGGCTTGGAGGGGGCGATTCCCCTCTCGCCTTCCTGGGCCCATATCGAGGTGCGTCGCGAGGTCCGATTCCTGTGCGATAGTGATGTTGACGTCAAGCCCTTCTCGCAGCCGGCCTTCGTCGCCCCCGAGCTCGTGTTCTCCAAGGGTGGGGCGCGGCGGCGCAAGGGGACCCACGGCGCCGACCCCGACGCGGCTACACCGACTTCGACGAAGAAGACCGCGCGCCGGGGAACTGCGCGCCGGCCTACTGTCGGGGCCCGCGACGCGTCCGGCTCCGCGCGCGCCGCCTCTGGCTCCCGCGGTCGCGGCGCTTCGGGGTCGCGGTCGGGCGACCAGGACGCCCTGGCCGACCTCAGCCACGAGGACCAGGTCGCGGTCCTCGCCGTTCGCGCCGAGCGAGAGGTGCAAGTCGCGCGCCGGGGCGTCATCGACCGGATCATCGCGAACCTCGACCAGCAGGAGCGCGAGCTCCTTGGCGCCGCGGACGGCGAGGGAGGCGAGGGAATGGGCGCGGGGTCCGACGGGTCCGACGCAGAGGACGAGGGTGGGGACGACGACGACGACGAGTAGGCGGGCTGCGAGGGCGAGGAAGTCGGGGGCGGCAGGCCCCGATCGTCTGGAGAATGGTGAAGTGGAAAAAGTAAATACGGATACCGAGTCCTTATGTTTTCTTGTTTTGTAAGTAGCTGAGCGGAGTGGTAACTAGGAGGGAGTTAGTGTCCATAGCGTGAGTTGTCAGGCTAATAAGTCTAGAGAGAGAATGAGCGAAGTATAGGGGCGTCTGTAAGAGGCGATAGTGAGAGGCTAGGTTTCGGGGCAAAAGGCTTGTAAGGTACCGAACTGATAGTGAGGGAGGAGGGTATAACGGCGGACGTCGGACTCTACTCGTCGGGCTGGTCAAGCGCGTCGTCCGCGTCGTTGGACCGATTCTCTACGAGCTCGGGGTCGGGGTCTTCCGTCCCGTCCTCGTCGGAGTCGATCAGCTCTGAGAGCCGTTTTTGTGAGATGTCGGCGAAGTTGTCGGGGAGTGCGATCGAGCGTCTCGGGAAGTAGGGGAATGAGCCGGAACGCCGCGACCGGCCTGTGGAAGACGGTCCCGTCGAGTTCGCAGATGACATAGGCCCCGCCTCGGTTTCGGGAGACGACTACGAGCGGTCCCGTGTATCGGGGCCGCATTTTGCGGTTGAGGGACTTCTCGACTTGGGTGTGGCGCATCAGGACGAGGTCCCCCGACTTGAAGTCGAAGTCTCGGATAGTCGCGGTGTTGTCCTGTTCGAACTTCTGTGCGGTGCGGATGCGCGCGCGGTAGACGTCCGACTGTAGCTCCGCGAGCTGCTCCTGGCGCTTCTGGAGAGCGATGGCGCGGCGCGCGATGAGTTCGGTGGTAGAGACGAGCGACTCGGGCGGGGGCATCAGGTACGTGGCTTCGGATATGTCGAAAGGGAGTATCGGATGACAGCCGGTCACCGCGTAGTAGGGCGAGCACCCCATTCGCTTGCGAATGGTCACCCGCTCGGACCAGAAGGCGAAGTGCGCGACCTGCGACCACTTGTTCTGGACTCCGTCCGCGGCCTTGTAGAGGACCTGGCGGACGTCGAAGTGCGGTTTCTCGACTACACCGTTGGCGCGGGAGTTGTAACCGCTGATGCGGATGTGGTGGACGTTGTATTGCTTCTCTAATCGGGCTACGGCTTTCACGAACGCGGCCCCGTTGTCGGTCACGATCTCGGAGAGTCCGCCCCATCGACAGAGGATATCCTGGAAGATGAAATCCGCGATAGTCTTCGCGTTCTCGACTCGGAGCATCCTCCACTCGACGTAGAACGAGAGCGAGCATCGGGCTTGGATGATCATCTTGAAGCCGTTAGAGACAGGGAGCAGCATCGTGTCTATGTAGACTCGTCCGAAGAGGCAGGCGGGGAGCGCGACCGTCGGGGGCAACAGGACCTTGCGGACTTGACGGGTCTGGCAAATGTGGCACGTCCTAACGTACCAAGTTACGTCGTCTCTCATCGAGGGCCACCAGAAGCGCTCCCCGATGGCTTGCAGAGTCGCGAACCTTCCGCGATGACCGAGCGTGTTGTGCCCTAGGCGCAGGATTTCGGGCCTCTTAGCCGGCCAGACTACGAGCTTGTGGGCGCCTTGGGGGTCCTTCTTCCACAGGCGGTCGTCGTCCGCGAAGAACTGTTGTGCGTACTTGATGAACGCCGTGTATGCGCTGTCCGTCAAGCCCTCGGGGCGTGCTAGGGTTCGCAGCCATGTCGCGACTAGCGCGAGTCGTTTGTCCGCCTTCTGCGCGTGTTCCGACGTCGGGATTTGCAGCGGTGCTTCGGGGCCGCTGACCTGAGGGACGTGTTGCTGTGCGGCGTGCTCGTCCTGCTGCTGTTCGGTCTGCTCCTCCCCCTGACTGAAATTCCGACCGTCCCCGGTCGGGTCCGTGAGGGCGAAGAGCTGCAGTGGAGTTGTCGCGGGACGTGCGCTGGAGGGGGTAGGTAGGATATGGTGGAGGAATCCGTAGAGTCGGTCGACCCAGTCCTCGAATTCGTCGTCGTCGGGGTCGTCCGCGGGTCCGTCGTCGGGCTGCCGAGGGCGCCTTGAGAGACCGTCGGGGCCATGCGACGTCCCGGGTACGTGGACGAGCTCGAAGTGGAACGTGAGGATGGTGACTATCCAGCGGTTGATGCTAGCGCTAGGCGCGACGTCGGGGTTGCGTAGCATGCCCTTGATGTAGCGAGCGTCGACTTCGATGATGAGCTTCCGTACGCCAATGAGGTAGAGCTTGAGAGCTCGGAGCGCGCGGTAGAGGCCGTAGATTTCTAGCTTGGGCTGTGAGAACCGCGCCTCGCGCTCGTTGAGCGTGATTGAACCGAAGCGACTATAGTACCGCTTGCGCGGGTCGTCCGGGTCGCACTGGCAGAGGTGGTATCCCGCCGCGATGTAGGAGGTGTCAACGGCGAGTATGACGGGCGCGCTGGAGTGGTAGTCGATAGCGCGGAGTGCGGGGGACGCGAGGAGTGCTTCGATGAGGTCGCGCTGCGCTTTGAGTTGGTCGGGCCCGAACTCGAAGGGGACACCCTTCCGAGTGAGGTGGACTAGAGCGTGGGCGCGGTGCGCGAAGTTGCGTATGAAGATTCGGGCTACGCCGATGGTGCCGAGGAACGCTCGGACCTCCGAGAGGTCCTTACACGGGCCCCAGTTGCGGACGACCGCGACGCGCGATTCGTCGGGGAGTCGTCCTTCGGGGGTGCAGCGATGGCCGACGACCGTGATCTCCCGGCAGCAGACCTGCGACTTCGTTCCAGAGAAGGTCCCGCCGGCGTACTTCATCCTCTGAACCACGCGATTGACGTTCTGGAAGTGCTCCCAAACGAAACGCCTGATGCCTTTGTTCTCGGGAATTGTCTCGTAGGTGCCCCCCTCGTCCCGATAGTCGGACTCGGGTCCCTTACAGGGACAGTCGTCGATGAAGGGGACGGTGACGTCGGGGATTTCGGCTCGGAGGATGTAGGTTACGTCGTCGTGGAAGATGGGGACCGAGTTACACCAGCCCATGGGTAGCGTGCAGTGTCGGAGAGCCCCGAAAGGAGTCTGGAATGTGGTGAAGTCTCGCGACGAGACCTTGATGAGGCGCTCGTCGAAGCCGACGTAGAGGTCGAAGATGGCCCCGCACGCCCTCCCCGCGAATTGCTCCGCGAGGTGGTCGGGCGTCGGGGGAACTCCGGAGTGCTGGATTGTGACTTTGTTGAGCGGTTCTAGGCTGTGCACGATACGAAGGGATTTCCCGTCCTTCTTGAGGACGCAGAACCAGCGGGATCGGTATGCGGAGTTGGACGGCTCGTACACACCGGCCGTGATCTTCTTTTTCAGGATCGCGCACACTTCGTCGTAGAGTCCGGGGGGTATCGGGATGTTCCGCTCCACCCAGGGGGTGTGCGCGACGACAGGGAAGTCGACGGGGGGGAAGAATTCGGGCTTGAAGCAGCCGCGTTCGTCGTCGTTCCACGCGAAGGCTTCGTTCTGGAGGGAGACGAAGTTGTGCAGCAACTTCCGTTCCTCTGGCCATAGGAAGTCCTCGGAGTGCGCCTTGTCGAACGCCTCTTGTCGCTCAGCCGTGTAGCGGCCAGTCGGGACGAAGTCCGTCGGGTTCGTCGGTAGCTCGGGCATGTCCGCCAAGGGGTCCCCGGTGATGTTGCGCTCAACGCGGAACTGCTCGGGGGTGGATCCTAGGACAGGCCTCACTTTCCTAGCGACGGGCTTGTACTTCTTTTTGGTGGACAGGAAGACTTCGGCGGTTCGTTCGGGGTCTGGGGGCGCCTCGGGGTGGACGGCGCCCGGGAAGACGCGTATATCGCCTCCCTTTCCGTCGGGGAATGAGAAGGCGAAGAGCCCGGTAGGGTCGGTCTCCCCTAGGGTGAAAGTGCCGATGTTCTGGGTATTCGGGGACGTAGACTGGGGCGGGGTACGGGTATGCGAGTGCGAGTCGGCGTGATTCTGGGTTTCTTGGGTTTTCTGATGGGATGAGGCGACGAGATCGGGGAGACGGTCACAGGCAGATAGATAGAGAGCGGGGATCGGGAGAGGGTTTTCGCAAGA